AAACTTTGTACTTCTCGAAAAAAGGACAGTTTACATCGTTGTGCGTCGCCTATTTGCGAGTGCGGTCTTGACTCTGAATCGGTAAAACACGTTCTTTTGTTTTGCCCAAGGTATGCGGCTCAACGTTATGTCCTCCTTACCTCTGCTGCTAATGTGTTCAGGGAAACATGGTCATCGAGCAGCGATGCAAGGAAACTAAACTTTATATTGTATGGTGTTCAGTCCGCAAATTACGATGTAAACTACGCTTTTTGTCGAGAAGTACAAAGCTTTATGATTAATACTAATGGCTTTTTGGTGGCCACTGACTGATTGTTAAAATAATATATCTCTAGATAACTAAGCTTAATTCGCTGTTTTCAGCGCAATTTTTTTGTGTTGTTTGTGAAGTAAAAATTATAATATTGTAATCCCCCTTGATAAGGGTAGTTGCTTTGGGGAAAAACAATAACAAATATTTTTAAATAAAAATTTGCCGTATGAATTGGAGAAGACTTTAGTATCGCTTTATATTATTTTGTCGTGGGCTTTACGAATGAAGCATTAGTCTTAAAACCGAGTATTGAGTTTCACAAGATGCTCTTGTGAAATGATGCTCTTGTGCATGAGGGGTCAGGGTTAGTTAATTAGTGCCATAAGGAAAGTTAGAAGCGCTCTGGAAACTGGACAGTCATGAACACCCGAAGAAAGGTATATGCAGTGAAAACGTCTTTGCTTAACCGGAGCTCCAATAAACTCTCTTTTGAAGCTACACAAGGCAAGAAAGGAAAAGTAAGATACACTAAAGCAAACTGAAGTGGCAATGATGGCAGCAACCAAATGTTTTTGAGGAGCAGGGAGACACCATATCCTTTGGGAAGAAATTTATATGTAAGGAATCATTCACCTTTAAGTCAGTTAGGTAGATTAAAACTTAAGAACGGCAACGAGATCTTAGTCTACCGATTACTGCAGGAGACAAAAGTTTATCAGTAATTAAATGAAAAATGTTTATTCTTTAAGTCGAACAACCTTGGTAAAGTCTTTTTTCCTAACTATAGAAAGAACGCTTTCCGATGGTATGAAACTCGGGTGGACTGACTCGGTCCCGCCTTTATACTTAACTTGTGAGTTTGATTTTAAAAACCAAGCTGGATTCGAATGTAAGTATATTCCGAGATTTAAGTGCAACTTAATCATTTCCATACCGAACATTTCTCATCAGCAGCAAGGACGTAACCCTTTTATGAGCCATTTTCGAGATTAGCTGCCAAACCTAAGCTGATATTTTTAGGTCAACTTTTTGTCTGAATACCGAAACGTTTTTCTTTTTCCATAAAGGTGTATCTGGCATAAATGTACCTACATTAATAATATTATTGTCTTTCCTGCTTTGAGGTAAATTTTGTTTTTCTGTAAGCATTGTGTTCTTTTGGTCGAGTTGATTTGAAATGGGTTTTCCATCTTGTTTTGTTGCCATTATCAGGTTGCCCTCCATTGATAAAAGACCTGCTTTTGATACTTTAAAAAAATTCACCAAGTGTATTTTGTTGCCATTCAGATCGAGATATATGGTTTATATCTCCTAACAAGAAAGAAACAAACGAATTAAACTGAAATTTGACCACCAATATCTGCGATAAATAGGGCTTCTAACACTTCAACAACGGCAAGTGGTGTCCTGACGTGAAATGCCTTTTGGACAATGACAAAAGAGAAAATGATCTGATCTTAGACAGCTCAAACTTATACAATGATGTGCTGTGATTACAAAGGATTTCACAACATCTGGTCGCTCTCACTGACTAATAACGTTTGCCATTGTTCCATCCTAAAACAATAAACAGCTTATTTTTTCTCTCCGTGAATGGAGGACAGCCACCAAATAGAGAGTAAGATTACTTCTTTCCTTCCCATCAGCCTTACTCGCTTAACTGTTCAATTTGTCGCTAACCCTTGCACCATTAGCCTTTTGTTGTTGTTTTCTTTTTGTGTCTAGCAATAAATCAAATCTGTTACCCTAAAAAGCCACGTAACCATGATAAAAAAAGGCAATTGAGAGGCGTATTTTTGGAACATATTTAACAACATTGCATAACAACAGCTCTGGTCACATTATTGACACGGAAGGCAGTCATCGAAAGAGGGAAACTTGCAATATATATGATATCAAGGCGTAATAAGATAACAGGAAAAAAATGAACAATTAAAGTTAGTGGTGTCTAAAGAAACGGTAGAATGATGAAAACATGTCTCCTAAATGACTAACATAAAGTTCTGCTCTCAACGTCGACGTCAGCTATATGTTTGGCAATATTTGGCCTTCATTAACAAATGAAGTATGCATTTATTTATGCAGCGTGCGTTTCACTGCGGAAGTTCAATGTTTTTGTAACATGGTTGTCCTTTCTCATTTTTTTTAAACTAAAATAGTTTTTCTCCTAAAAAAACTGTTGCTATGAGCAAACATGACTTGCTGTCAAAATGAGATTGAGGTCAAAAATTGCATTTTCCTTTGATGTTTTTTTCCAACAGCAAAGAATCGTTTATTTTATTGTCCACTGATAATTTGTGTCATTTCATGTTTTACTCGTCACTTCGGTTGATATTACCTTGAGCTTGGTCTTAAAGCAAGGCAAGATTTGAAAATGTTCAGTTTAGTTTTTACACGTAAATAGGGATTTCTCATCTTTGATAACTGAAATTCTGACCCCCAGGAAAATATCAGAAATCTAACAAAACGTACTTTATCATAGGAAGGCACAATAATGCAAAAGAAAAGTAAAGAAAAGCAAAGCAAAGAAAAGGTTGCAATCTCTGTCCACAATGCGTTTTTATTTTTTTTATTTTTTTGTTCACAATGTATAAGCTCAGTACGATGAAAGGAACAAAACCTTCCCGTCTGTTTGTTTTCTAATGTATACTCGAAACGCCAAAGGGAAATGTTTAAGCATTTTCGACTATTTTTTTGTTTTGGCGCACTTACCAGTCCTTATCAAAAGAGCTTGATGTTTTGTGGTTATCTGTCTAGGCTACCAACACAACTCAACTTGATTCTGGATCTACTGCAGGAGACACATTCACAGCGAAAAACGAGTAATTAAATATCAATTTCCAGGGAGACCAACAATAATTACTCAATCTGCGAATCATTTAGGAGTCAATATCAATATGTACATAAAAAGGAGATCCATTGTTTTTTGTTTGATGTCCCCAATGTCAAAACCGGGAAAGACCTGTTGACTGTTTTTCATGTAAAACCGGTTTCCACACGCAACAACTATTTGGAACAAATTCATCATTTCCGCAAATAAACGTAAAAAATATCCCCATTAAATGATCCCCAAGGGCAAAACACAAATAAATGAAAACTTTTTGCTGACGTCTGTTGTCTAAATGCAACGGTGAAAGCGTAACTTAGAATATCAGTCAGACCATAGTCTACAAATAGATACTTGGTTTTACTGCTAAGATGATACGAGGATGGAGCAACACAAATTTTCTTAGTAGGGTCAGTCAGTTCGTTACTTCTGAAAGGCTCTTACTAACATTTCCGAGGTCTCTACAATACTGAACTGTTTGTAACTGCATTCATTATATGGCTGTCTCACAAGGACTGGGAACTAGCGAATTCACGAATTTGATTGGCTGAAATCGATATTGACCGCGGTCTAGATTTTCCCATCTAGACCGGCGTTTCATTTTGCGTTGAAAGGTAGCAAACTAAAATACAAAAATGTTCACCATTTTCTTTTATTTACTTCTCAATCATTTATGGAAGTGCCAAAAAGCCTGATGACAAAAAAAAAGTAAAGAGGACGAGCAAATTTCGGCAGGTTTAAGTTAAGCTCATCGCCGTTCGCAAGCAAAATGTCAGAAAACCAGTTACATTGAACGAATTAAAGTTTTCTTCTTTGCCATATAATAAACATCTTATTATCCGAGCTAAGTCGGTCTGTATGAGAGAATCTTGACCTCGGTCGTGTGTACAGACCTCACTGCGTTCGGTCTGTACCCACGACCTCGGTCAAGATTCTTCCATACAGACCTCCAGCTCGGTTAATAAGATTTAAGTACTGCTTTGCCAGGATTGAAAGAAATTGAGGTACGCCTTTAATTTTTGACAGTTGTTTCGCGACTAAAATTTCATGCAGTGATAAATAGAACACAACTATATTCAAGGCGTTTGCTTACAGAGCAACTTAATGAAATGCTTTAATTTGTCTGGTAGGAAACAAACTCCTCGAAACGGATGGACTAGTAGCAAGCAAATTTAAGGACATCAGGAGGATACGATTGAACAACTTCGATTCATTCAACAGGTGTTGATCGCGAATTGTAAAGCGCAGGCCAAGAAAATGAGAGCAGAGGCTTTTAACGATAAAGGTTGGCTGTTGTGGGAAAGACAGGAAAGTTCTTCGTTAGAGCAGAAAATTTAGCCTCTGAAGAAATCGAGAGGCATGTAAGTGGCGTTATTCACAGTGAGTTCATAAGTGGATTCATAAACACAGTGGCAGCAGTTGTTAATGACTAAGAACTACTCAGTCGAAGACGCCTCCCCAAACGAGCAAGAAAGATCGGGATCACATGTCGTGTTCGCAAACAGCAGTTTTCTGCGCGTCAGCTAATACCTATATACGTACAAATTTAGCTCCAAAAACTTAAAAGCCATGTTCAAGAATGCCGTTTGTTACATGCTGCAGGTGGGAGTACTGGATATCAAAAGTACAGACTCCAACCTGCTCATAAGCGAACTGAACTCGACTGTTGCAACAAACGTTGTAAGTCTGAAGTTGTCCAAGAGAATTCACCAGAAGGCATTTGACATGAGCTTCTTGCACAAGCAAATCACCCACCTGCAAAGTGCTTTTGGTGTTGAAAATAAATCGATGGCAGCGTTTGAGAACATTGTGCGGTATCTTTTGAAGTATTTATCAAATTGGAAGGCCACAAAATCTCTCATCTTACCGCTTTCTGCTCACCGTTCTTCACCCTAATCCTAAAACTTGTAGGCGTTTAGATACTGTAAAAGTAGATTTATTTACTCAAAAGGATGGAATATAACAGCAATATCATCGGAGATGCCCGAACTAGTGCAAAACCCAATACATTCCTGGTATTCAACTCCGCCTCGTGAAATTTTCAAACCAAAGTAAAGTCTCACGACGTGGGCGCGAAATGCGTCTTATCCACAAGTTCTTCACCAGTGTATTTTTCATTTGGGACGCCTTTAGACGCGAACACCGTTGCCGTAGATGTTGTTTTATGTGGTCTCGTTTGTTTTCTATCCTCAAAACCAATGAAATTATTTATTTGTGCAGATAACTGGCCTAGGAACTACTGGCATGGAATGTCGATATAGAAACTTTTATTTTACAATTCTGTCACTTTTATAAAAATTTTTTACCTGCTTTTTATGCATTGTTACTTGATTATATGATCACCCTTGCCATAACTATAATATACAAAACAATGTTTTTGAATCCGAGTCTTTCCAGTTATCAGTGGGCTCGCCCAATTTTCTCGTAATTACAGACAGAATTGAACTCCACTCATTCAGATTAGGGTCGCACGTGGGCAAAACGAAATTGATTTCCCTGTTAATTCATTGGAGGGATTTCAGGTACCAAAACAAGTAGCGCGTAAATCGGAAGGGCGTACTGTGCTTTGCCTTCCAATATAATCCATCACTTTTTCTTTCTTGAGAACGCCACAACGGGACCCTGGCCAGAGAACAATGAAAATCCCCGGGGCAATGAATGAAAACCCCAGGGACAAGGTGATTATGAAAGGAAAATGAAGGAAACCTTCGATGCTATCATTGAATCCAGCTACCGACGAATTTCAGCTAAACTGCTTGATACGGCCTTCCAGATAAATCCCTCCAAAATCCCCTTCAAAATAACAAAAACGCCACGGAGATGAATTGTTCCTAATGACGCGCTTACTACAACTACACTGCAAAGAGGTTCTCTGCAAATACTTGAGATGGATGCCATTAGTTGAACTACACGACCCTTACAATGACAATGTACAAAAAATTGTCCGGGTGACTGAAATGTTCACTAATCCAGTGTATAGGAGTCTCTAGAGGAGGTTCAATTCCTTGAATCACAACTCGCCACTCGTTATCAATCACTGCGCTGCCACCGGCAAACACCTCAGGAACGAATTCACGTAACAAGTCACCAAGTGTGTGCTGTTCACCTGCAAAAGGAATCAACATGAACTGAAATCCGGATAGGTGAGTAAAAAGCTGACAGATTCAGGCTGACTCCAGCCTGACCCGAGCCTGAAGGTACTGTATAATAATGAATGAATGATTTTTATCATTTTTAAAGCACGTACACACATCAGCCTTGCTAAAGATGTCATTTGTAGAAAATTATACAAGCTACGTATTGGCCCACTGACTTTCCGTCAACTTGTCATCTATGAAACATCTAGTGACACAATTCTCATTGATCTATTTATTATGGTTGTTTATATTTCAATTCATTAAATGCTATTTTTTTTTTTTTTTTTTTTTTTTTGTATATCTGAGGAGCTTGAGACATTTTTAGATTTTAGATAATTACATTTTACTTCCTTATTTTAGTGTCCACAATTAGTACTGGTGACGGACTAGACTTTGTATTAATTAACACTTAAAATTAAGGTTCTTGTCCTGTTATCTTATCCATGGATGCAACTGCTGAAATCAACTTTTCAAAAATTCCCAAGAACAAGATATGAACTAAGAACTTGTGAAACTTAGAATTGAGGAATTCATCAATTAATTAAGGAACCCATGTGTCAATTACAGTAAACTTTGAAGAATTTACTCTATAAAATCCTTGTCATAAACACTTTATTCTTATTCTGAAAGGAGGCACTCACCATTTTCGTTGACAGGTCTAAACAACTCTTGGATAAATTGCTTATCAGACTGCAAGTGAAATTAAAGAAACGTGTCACATACAGAACAGTCATGAGTCCACCGAGCAAAGCCACCAACACCCAGCACCCCATCAAAGAAACTACTACGTGAGACTCTGAAAATAACCATACCCCCTACAATGTAATACGAACAAAAACTGAAATTTCTAGAGGGATTTAGTGGGGGTGGGGGGTATGGATATTTTCTGGAACACATTGCTGAAAATAGACATGTTTATGTAACTATCCTGTTACATGTGGTACATGTATACATGTTTACTACTTCATGCTTTGTAATGTACTTGGTAATAGGAGAAAAACTGAAGTAATCTTTTTAATTCCCTTTATTTCTAATATATTCTTCCTAACTGGATGGGTTTACCTAAGAAAAAATAAATTATGACTCTGGGGGTGTAAGCATTACTGTGTGCTCCTTACTTAAAAATAAGCACTAGTAAGTAACTTAATTTACAATTGTCGCAAGTGTGAAACAAAGAAATAAAGAAAAGAGTCGAATGGAAGTCAAGCCCAGAGCATTCAGCAGTAGACCAGTGGGAGGCTCTAACCAAATTAGGTTTGTGTATGTAACTAGTAAATGCAGCTCCTCTTATTATACTGCTGTTTGGTGATCACATGAAAATCTGAAACAAAATGTTCAATTATAAGGTGTGTATGGCTGGATATTGTCTAAGTACAACTTCTCTTTGGTGATCATTATCAGCTATTGTAAGAGCTTTTCAAAGACTTAGTGCTTAACCTTGTTAGTATGTTTCAAAAGGAATAGTTACTTAACACATCACCTGAAATATTCTGAAAGGAATGAACTTGAAGTACGGGTCATCCCCTGTTCTTTCCATCAGACGGCGGTTCACAGCCCAAAACTGTTCAAACTTATCTGTTGAATAAAATGTAATGCCACTACAGGCTCCAGCATTTGCATGTACATGATGCTACATAATCTCTGATTTGCCTATATATATGTTTGCATCATATATATAAAGATGAGCTAAGGTAAAGGTTTAGTCTGCATATGAGCCAAGGGGCCCATCAGGCTGGGGCTCGTCTGGGGTCTGTAGCATGAAGCGACTAGGAATATTTGTACTCCCCCTGGATGGGATAGTAGTCCATTGCAGGGCTACCCCCAGCATTAAATTTGACGCTTACCTACTCATTTATGCACCTGAGTGGAGAGAGGCATTGTGAGAGTTAAGTGTCATGCTCAAGAACACAACACTGTGTCCCCAACCAGGGCTTTAACTACACTGTAGGACCACTTGCTCGAGAGTCAAGCACACTAACCATGAGGCCACTGCACCTCAACCATATGAAGATGAAGTGTACTAATATTCATAGCATTCCCATTATATTTTGATCAGTATATGTATGGAAACTATGTATATGTTGCAGTTAAAAATGTTCAGTAGGTAATTTTTTTTTAACTAGGTAAATTTATTATTTAACTAGGTATTTTTTTTTTTAACCAGGTAATTTT